AATAAACAACGTAGTGGGTGACCTCGCATGGTAATATGTAAAACATATTGAGCTAAAATTTTTTCAGGCAGGTATATCTTTTATCTTGTGTTTTCTGGTGATTAACTTTGAAGAACATTTATTTATGATTAGATTCTTGGCAATTATTTATTGCAAATCGTTATAGAGATATTACACAGATATAATTATTATTGGTATATATTATAATTTTCATATTTTAATAATATTTACAAAATTAAAAGAAGTTGATCGACAGCCGTGTTGCTCTAAAAGTAAATTTAATATTAAGTTATTTTTTACCTAACTACCGAATAAGTTAACTAAATTAAGTAAACTTTGTATTGTGTGTTTGTGTAAGTATTAATCAATGCAGATCAGTCGAAAATAACTATATTTATGTAGTAGTAGTATTTAGTAGTAGAAGACTTGTTGATATGTATAGAAGAATAGTTGTTATCTACGACTTTGTGTGCGTGATCAGGATTTATCGATCGACCTGAACAATAAATTTTAACTTACGACCTACAAGGAATACATCACACTATTTAACTATTTAGGTTTCTATCCTAAAATATTAGTTCGTAGATCGTAACTTATATATACTACAGACCTCCAGGGTCTCTCCGGTATTTTATATTATATTATATTGTGAATGTATATTATTATAATCAATACAGTTATTATAAGCATTTTTGATATTATTATTTCATAAATTGAATTTTTGACTTAGCAGTATGTTCTCTTGCAATCCAAATACAATATTTATATTAAAAATTACGATTTGGCTAACTATTAAGGCGATAAAAGATAACAAACAAACACACTCAATAAGAGTAGAAGACTAATATTGCCTGCGACTCAGTCTAGTACGACTAGGATTAGTAGCAGTCATAATAATAAATATTTTTTTTCTAAATGTGTAGGCACTATTTAACTTCAATTGTTTGCCTGTCCTTTGGTGTTAAGAATTTCTAGGCTATCTTCATTACGCACGAAAGCCACTAATGTAACTTGCAATTACATTCTATAAAATTTGCGTTATTAATATTTATTTTTCTACAAATAGAAAGTAGGTGTATTTATCTTTCAATTACATCCCTCTGTAGCTGATTAAAAAAATATTGCCTATATTTTTATAATCAATGTCCACAAATACGTGTACTAATAATGTTGTAATATAACTTTCCTCAGCATGCTAGTTTTTATAATCGATTCAGCTATTTAGCTACGAAAAGCCAGTAATATAGACAGAGCAATACTAAGATTCACATTATAATATTAGTAGGAGATATAATAAAAATTCTTGATGTTGAATTTTGTAATATGTAATAAAATGTAATATAACACAAAAAAGAATCAGAGCGGTAATAATTTATTGTGTGGAATTAAACCGCTTTTTGATTCAAAATATAAATATATATAAAACCCCTTTATGATTTCCAAAATTACAATTATTCTGCAAATATTTTGAAATTCCGTCTGTAGTTGTTTTTATGTAATTATGCATAGTAAAACAATGCTCAAAGTATTACTTTTCTAAAATACAATGAAATCTATATATGTTAGGCATGGTGACCATAAATACAGACAAGTTGGGACGCCGTAATGTTTGGTGTTAAAACGTTTGATAAGTGTACAGATTTGTGCAAATATTGGCCTTTTATGTTGATCATGTCTGCGAGCTTGGATGCTAACAAATCGTGTGGACAAATCGAATTCCTTCGTCAGTCAAATAATTAAACAGTCGTTTCCTTATTATTACAGTATAAAGTTGGATATTAAAATCATTGTCGAACATTTGATCTTCAGTCTTAAAACCTATTCGAATTTTAATTACGAGGTAGAGAAGAAAATTTATTAGCAAATTTATATTAAAAAGAAAACAGCGACCTCTTTTTTAACGCGGAAAATTTACTATCGGTTGTAAAAAGAATTTTTAAAATTGGGAAAGATAAGTATCTAAAAGTGAATTGTGAAACTATTCTATTATTTATAGACTATTATTATAAATATTGTTTAGGCGACTGTAAAATGCTTAAACAATATTTTTTTTTACTGTCCCAAAAGAGTAGATAAGTATAGAGGTAGCTTCAGTATGGACTATACACCTATCCCCCGATTTATACGGTAGATACGTTCCTGAGAAAAACGTGTAAATCGAAAATTAAAAATTTTCAAGTCAAAACCGTGTAAATCGAAAAGCTTGCAGAAAATGCATAATTTTGCTATTTAACAGTTGTGATTTTTTTCAATATTTTTAGGTGGACACAGAAATAAAAATAAAATGCATTGACAGGTTAAAATATGTAATATATTACGGAAACACTATTTTTTTATTTAATTACAATACATTAAACGATCCAAAGCGATCCAAAATTTCGATTTTAGCATTTAGTAGAGTGCGATAAAAACAAAAAAAAAAAAACTTATTTGGAAAACCGTGTAAAAGCGAAAACGTGTAAAACAAGTACCGTGTAAATCGGGGGATAGGTGTACTAAATAAATGTTCGTAATATCATAATTATTTTCTACGAAGATAAACCTAAATAAATTGCTAAAGCATAAATACTTTGAAATACACAAAAATAGAAATTGTGAAGGATATAAACACACATATAACAACGCTAAAAGTCTAACTGCAGTCCACCTGTTAAGCGTGGCAACTATTGGCAAAACTCCCCTTCTAGGGAAGGCTTATGTTCAATAGGGGACCGTTAATGATTGATATGATGATAAAAAAATTATTTAGTCTTTTAAAAGGAATTCAAAATGAAGAGCAGCTAATATACTTATTAGTAACAAAAATGTATAGTTCTTTTTGTTTAAATGAAAATGGTGACAATTACATTATAAGTTGTGTAATATCAATATTAATTGTGATGAATGAATGCATATTATTATCATTGGTTGTAATTAAGTATATTTCTAACAGCTTATTGCGACTTCGATATTTATTTACTTATTACTTTATCTATTAAAATGTCTATAAGTAAGTAGTAATCTGCATCTTTATTAATATATTTGCAAGTAAATTAATTCTAAAGCGCAATAAATCTTATGAACATGTCAGGTAGGTAATTTTGAATACGAAAAACATAAATGTGTTTATTTGTCCATCGTACCATTATCATATCATAATTTTTCAGAAAATATGTGTAGGTATGTAACCTAATAATACATTATTGTTATTAATATCTACACGTGGTAACAAAGGCTTAGTGCCTTATTATTATAATTTTAAAAGTTTGATAAATACATTGAATAAATATAAAATCTAATAAGTATCTCTGTAGGCATTACGAGATACTACACAATAAAGTGGGGGCAAAAATAATTGTCTTAAGCCATGAACAAATAGATTTCTAATAACGTTAAGTGAGAAATAGGTGTTGCAGTAGACGACTTCAATCGAGATAAAAATAATACGGAAATAACATGGAAATATAATTGTAAAAGAATTATCAAAATCTGTTCAGAATTTTAGGAAATATTTTTTAATTTGTAATAATTTAATAACTTCCACCTTTATTTAAAAATCATGATGACTGTGAGAAAAGAGAATAAATTCTCAGCTACGAGTAAATATGAAGCATCTAATATATCTACTGACAACAACAACATGAATTTTAAAACAACAAATGTTACGCAGTAATTAACAGAAAAATTCGGTTTAGAGACTGAAAACGTTGTAATAAAATCTTTTTCGTATCTATTAGGTCTGTAGTTAGAACATAGTTACTATAATTTTACCCATATATTTATATCTAATTGGTTGTTTGAGCAATATATAACATAAAATATTTAAATATATTGTATTTGTCTATGAGTGTTTAATTTCTTACTAGCATTTTTACAATACTCAGATGGTATACGCTGACGGGATACCAGTGGTAGATTATAGGTGAGGTAGGATGAAGGCAGGTCTATCGTGAAGAATTCAAAACCACTTAACTACTATGGTTTTATGGGGGAACCGTTTCGAGGTCAATCTGATATGGTATATTGCTAACAATGGAGCTGTTTTTTTATAATTCATTATTATTAACAATCCTTTTCCCTCTTATGTAGGTATACTATTGAAGGTACGATGGCCATGTCACAGTATACATACCTACTATGACATGGATATCATACCTAGTTACTACATGCCCGAATATAGAAGTATATATATACTGTATATATATATATATATATATATATTTATATATATATATATATATATATATATATATATATATATATATATATATATATAACTTTATAGTAAATAGTTATGTGTTATTTAGCTTAAGAAATAAATATTTATTGAATTATAATAATCTTAACTGCCCACGAAAACAACGATGTTTATAATAAAGAAAATAACAGCATTAGACAAAAAAATAATAGCTACTGGTTTTTAGAATTATTTATGTATAAATTATTTATTTAGTTTACCTGTAAGAGTAATGTTTATTATTGTAATTTCTTTTAAATATTTAAGATTAGTTACATCCTGCGGCTGCGCCCATATGAATCAGTTCATTAAATATCATATACTAGCAGTTAGAATATAACCTATCTGTGTAACAAATTTCCTTCAAATCCGTTTAGTAGTTTTTGTTTGAAAGAGTAATAAACGTCCTCTCATTCAAACATATTCACAAACTCGTACCTATATTTAATAGTAGTAGGATTTAGTTCCACAGAAATCATTAATAAATTAGTATAAAATCAACATGGGAGTTGACTCAATTGAGAAAATATTTATCGATATCAGTTCAGATTTTTTTTTATTATAAACTAGCGGTATGACCGGGCTTCACCCGGGTATTTTTTTAAAAGGATATTTAGCCTATGTTACTTCCTGATAATATTTTAACTTTTGGAGTTTATCCAATACAAACAAACAATCAAATAGTTCCTCTTTTTAATATTAGTATAAATGTATTTGAATTTAGAAGTGCTTTTTTTAAGTAAGTTGATTTATTAAATACTAAATTAGACAATTTTCCTTATAGAACGGATTTGTAGAGTGTCGAAACGGCGCAGAAGAGTGTGGACCGATAGAGGACTGCGCTGTGGTAATGCCACGCGAGGGTTGCTGTGCTCGCTGTAAGGGGTGCTGGTACAACGGCACTGAACATGCTTCTCATACGGAGTGGGGGGATGATGGCCGTGTGCTTCGCTGCGAAGCAGGCGTTGTCACCATCTCGAAGCCAGAATGCTATGCGCCCTGCGAGCGACCAAAACATCAGCGGCACACACATTACAATTGTCCTGTCTGTGATGGTAAGTAACTTTCAAATATTGCTTTTTATCAAAATCTATAAACTAAACATGTAGTTTAGAACCCAATTCAATCAAACCAGGGGCCTTATTCAGTAAAGCAATATTATGTGCTTTGTGTACTGTACCAAGTAAATCACGCTGGCTCTTACTAAGCAGGTAATAATGAAAGGAACAAATTGATTAAAAATTTTATCATTTAATCAACGTTCATTTTGGTTTATGAATACGGTATCGCAAAGAATACTTCATATTTCAATTGTAGACATTGCATTTGATTATGAACATAAAATTATAGATTCTATAAATTTATTATAAAGCATGAAAAGTAGAGAAATATCGCAAAGAAAATTTCACACAAATTAATCCATCTCAGTCTAATGGAAATACTTACGTATAGTAAAATAATAAAGTCGAGTCTTTGATCAACCGATCTATCGGTTTGTGAGTATAACAATTTAAGTGAGTAGAAAATGGAATGACTCCGAAGAATCCACAAACCAATTTACGATGCATTTTCTCACTGCGGTATCTACCTATATTGTTCAAGAAACATAATTGTCGGGCGGCTCTGGCGCAGCGGTGTCTCGGAGCGCGCCCACCCAGACTCGTGTGCAACAAAAAAGAACCTCGATGATCCCATACAAAAACAAACACACGCCGCCACGCGAACTTAATAAAACCAAAACTTGAGGCTATTTACCTCCGCTCCCAAACCCTAACAAGTTTATTAATTCTATATCAAATAATAGTAATTTACAAGATGACGAGTCGGGAATTGCTTTTGTGTGAAGCCGACGATTATCGATCTATCGATTTATTATACGTGTTTATATTTTATTAATTACTCTGGATAAGAGTTAATCTTCACTAGTAAAACAGAGATTAAGTTGTGTTAACATAAATGCTGAACTAATAAACTGGACGACTAGATCTGATATCTTGTTGCATAAATCTTTACTTGGGATTTATGGTGATATTTTTCTTCTGTTTGTAAATGTACCTATATCTTAGACTTGTTAATACTCATAGTAAATCAATGAAAGTAATAAATACAAGTCAAGTTTCCTGCTATAAGACATGACAAGTATCTAGGTTTTATTAGTACGAACATGAATAAAGGTGTGGCGAAGCTAATTAAGGAAGTGATGTGAACTAGCTGTGATTCTTTATACTAGTCATATTTCATGTCGTTTAGAAAAAGCAAGGTGGCTGCATCGCCCACACACTGCCACTGACTGACAATGGCATAATGCACAAGACTTGTTGCGCAGTAGCGTACCTTCAGACAATAGAACACTCTGCCATTATAACTCGACCCGCAAATAGCTGAAGATGACTATTATAGAACAACGAAGTGATTAATGTATCTGTATGTATCTCAATATTATCAGCCACATTATTTATTGTGAAGGTCAAAAAAACTTGTATATTGGACGATACATATACCTATCCGCTCAGGTATGAACTGTTTGTAATTTTATATAGAAACCGGCGCTATGTTTTGATTACTTCGGAAAGATTTTATTACTCATAAAACACTTAATTTAGCGTGAAGTAATATTATGTTGATTACAAAGGGTTTGTTCTCTCTTTATGTGTTAAATGAGAAGAAATCTGTGTACGATTTACGTAATGATTGGCACCGAGATTATTTTTTACACAAAACAGGCCACACGCATAGGAAACTATGGATTTTCACAACCATTAATAGCGTTTTCGTTGGTCATCATTTTAAAAACAAATGGAATTCTGTTTAAAAATGTAATAAGTTCTTATTATGGTATTCACGGGTATTCATTAATATATTTGTGGTCAAAGTCTCCCACGGCGTTGCGTCTCTATTATTGACCATAAATCAAAAAGTTAACAACCTACTTACGAGGTATAAAGGCGGGTGGGTTTTTGTCTGCTGGTCAAAGCTGCCGACGACCATTCGGCTGCGGGGTTTTAGAGGTGTGTTCTGTGTTTGTTTGTTTTATGATCCCAACGGTGCATTAGGTTTTTTGCTCTCTATATTTCTTCTTATTCTTTTACGATTTCATTTTATCAGTATGTGGATAACTTTTTATTTAAGACCAAATTAAATAATAAATAAATAAAATCAAACAATTAAGTGAATATTTTGAGTTGTGTCTAATTAAAATAATATATATAATTCACAATTATAGTATATATTAATTATAAGTTAAAACAAATTTATACTGTTGTAATGTAGTCTACAATAAAGACGAATGTAATATCGTCCAATGTTTTATTCTAACCAAACCTTTTTGAAATAATTGAATAAGAATAGTTTTTGTTAGGTATATTTTGTAATCGCATAAAAATGCGTAAGTACAAAGCTTGCTAATATAAAGTATAAAATACTGTTTGTATTAAATATATGAAATCCTAAGTCTTTTATTTTATTCTATTCAATAAAAAAATGTTTACTACGAGTACATAGACGGATACATCCCGAATGATGACAGGATATTTTTATTCTGATTTGTACGGCCAAAACTGTGGAAAATAACAAGTGAGTATTTTAGGTATTAGGATTTTAGATAAGTGCAGATAATATTTCCAAGTCTATCAAATATAACTAGGACCAAACCGTATCTACTTGTAACGACAAACACAGTGCGTCACAAAATTAAAAAAGCTTTGCTCATTGAAATTCTTGGAGTGTTTTTAGGTGCGTCGTTATTATTAGGTATGCCTGCGTCGACGGCCCGAGAAATTGAAATAATTAGCCTGTGATATACGCATGCTACGTGTACTGAATATTTTGATCGTAGTTATGTGTATCTAACTTATATATGTTGCAGAGAAATGAGGATACCAGCGATTTTGTGAAATACCTAGATTTAGATATCACGTATCATGGTGGATATCAAATGATGAAACAGATGACATAACAGCTTTGTCTTTATTATGTTCACTAAATTACTCTATATTTATTTGACAAAAAAAAATCGTAAAAAATAAATTTCCATCTAAATTTTTATTTATTTTTCTATATTTAATTTATTTAGAGAGTTGACGTGCCATTAAAAATATGGTAACACTTTGTCATTATATTAGATTCATTTTTTAGCAAAAAGACATAATAATTTTGAATAACGACATCTGCCTTGATTTTGTCGTACACATATTTCACGAAATATTTTGTATCCCCATTTTCCTGAGACATACTTAGTCTCATAACCTGATATAATAATAAATAGTTATATAATCAACATAACAAAAAAAAAATTATGTTTATGTAAAGAAGCCATTTAAAATTTTAGGAATCCCCATTCTGATAACCTTGTCTATCTGTTGTTATTTGTTCGCCACAAAGCACATCGCTCATATCATATAAATGGTTTGAACTGACTATGAATACTTAATTGTTTATCTACAAAAGGACAGTCTACTTTGTGTAGCCATCTCTAGTTTTACGACAGACACTTGACTGTGTTCGTTTTCATAATAATATAAAATGTACTCAGCGGACGCATGGTGGTCTCTAATTACAAAATACAAAAATTTTTAATTGAACATATATTTTATTTATGCTTCTTTAAGACTTATAAACATTTATTCGTATTTATTGTATATATCGTATCTGACATATTTCGAGAATTTATAAAAAAATAATTAAATGTCGATTAATTTTCTACATTACAAAACAAGATTCGTAACGTTTCTATATCAGTCGATATTAGTTTTTATTAACCAACTTTTGTAATTAAAAAACCGATTTTGATAAAATTAAAATCTGTAAGGATATCCTTTCAGATAAAAAGCATCGGTTTAGAGCTGATGGTGTTATGAGGTAATAAATATTAATAAATACAACAAGAATTGAGGACCTACTTCTTTTTGAAGTCGGTTGTAAAGAAAGAGGTTCTCAATTCAGTTGTAATTTTTTATCTTATACCTACAGATTGGTCCCATAGAAGTTTTATCAAAATCGGTTTAGTAGTTTAGTTTTTTAATCAATAACAGGTTTTGTTACAATTGAAGTCGGTATTTTTTGTGGAATAAAATCGTATCACGTTTGAAGTAGCCGTTTTTTCTTATGACACAAAATCAATAATTCCGAACAAGTAGTTTGGTACTGTACATATTTCGCTCAGCTTGGGTACAGAATTATCCAATTAATGTTGGTTTAGACTAGTGGTTAGAAACAAGCTTCTAAACAGTGAAGCATTGGTAACTACAACACAAACTAGACGGTAAACACGAATTAGGTACCTAGCGAATGAATGGTTAGCCGATTGATCCATAATTATTAGGTCTGCTTGTACTTCTTTTCCTACTCGTAGACAATGATATATATAGAGATGTTTCTGGAGAAAATTATTTAAAACTGTACTTTTCAACTTTTTATGTTGATAAGTTTCATCTTGTCATATTACCTGTGCTTAAACTTCTCTCAAACTTAGGACATTAGTATTTTTTAAACTTTACTAAAACGAGTGATTGAAATTAAGATGAAATTACTGAGATTTTATCACAGGTAGAATAAATATACATTTATTCTTCTTCATCGTATATTTATATCGTAACTAATATAGGCTTTATAGATATATATTTTGATCGCCACAAAAGTAACTTCAATAGTGTTCGTAATTATATCTATGCCAATATACAATGAAAATTATAGGTATTGTTATATACTGAAATGTTTTGTAGATACTTGTATATTACATTGAAAATATTTTAATTTAGATCGCGGAAACGCGTGTTTACGCATATGTACTAATAAGTATTTTATTTGTAATGCAACCGTTCTGCAAAGAAAAAAATAATCTCAATCGTCACAAAATTAATATGGAAGCAAAACGGGAGTGTGATTTTTATAATCGATTACAAAAAGAGTTGTCAAAATCAATTCAAAGGTAGTAACGTAATAACGTCACAAAAAATTTTTAATTCGGGAGTCGCTTCAAAATAATATGTATGAACAATTTGGTTTCTCGAATCTGTAATAAGTATAGTCAATAGGGCCACACTGCTGACTACAGAACGAAGGACTCGTTGGGTTCGTCGTGTGCGGCCGCCATTCATTAGTTCCTGATTGATTCATCGTCCATCTTCACTAATTTATTGTGTTGTTTGCCAATCTTCCGCCCCGAGCCTCATTCCGATTTGCCAAATAAAGGCCGCCTTTTGTTTTAAGCTTTCATTGTCTATTTTTGCTCCGCTGTTTTTCTTATTCTTTGCAAGATAAAGGAGCACTTATAATTAATTGTTGAAAAAGTCCATCATTTACATTTGAATAAGTAGGCAGATGCTTTTTAACTGACTTTAATAGGGAGGTTCTTAATTCGACGGACCACGTGTTTTTTATACGTTCTGCGATTGGAATCTTTGTAAATTTGGAATAGATTTTTGCAATCAATCTGGTCTCGTATGGGTTCCGTCTTGATATTGTTATGATTGAATTAAAAAGACTATTACAAAATGACGACTCTTAAGTTTTAAGTTGCGTAAAAAAAATTATACTAATGTAGGCACATATTATTACTATTTTTTTTTTCTAGAAATTTATGATTATATTTATTATGTTAGTTTACGATTGTATCAACTTTATTATTATGTATTCTTTATAAATAGTATTATTTTATTTATGAGAAAATTTAAAATGATCCATATCTCAGCGGTTTTTAATAAATGGCTTTGTTAATTAAAAACAATAGATATTTTCTTAATTTTTACAAAATTCACATCTTAGTATTATATTTTCTTATTATTATATTTACAATTAATTATCCACTGTTGAATATTGCCAGCAGTTTTAACAGAAACACTGCTGCCCATCCGTTAACCATTTAGTTCCCTTAGTAGCTTATTACGACACCCACAGAAAAGGAAGGGATAGCCTATTTTATGCGGGCATTATAACCATACGCGACCTAAAAAGAAATCAGTAGGTACATACTAATTAAAAAAGTAAAAAATTATGAACACTGTCTTTTAGATATGAAATTTTTGTTACTTTTTAATAGACAAATATAAAAGGCCTCTTAAGTGTTTTAATTGTTTTTTCTTTCGTAAAACAAAATTTGAAATGATATAGATAAACATTGGAAGTGCATACACACATTTTTGCTAATGCTTTATATCAGGCGTTTCGTTATTATTTCGAATATTTTTGTAGTACCTACTCGCATTATTAGCACATTTCCGAATATTTTTCGGAGGAGAGGGGCTAACCTCTTAAAAAAGTTGTATATTTACTTAGGCCTGTGAGAACCAGCGCTTTCTTTTATTTTATTTAATAGTTGTTAGTGTTGTTATACTAGCTGTTATATTTTTGCAAGTACATTGTTAATAAATAAATAAAGTAACATAGTAAATACTTTAAAAAAATATTCATAATATTTATTTTACAATTAAAAAACACTGTACCGAGAAGAATAAGCAAGAAATATGTCTGTCGCTTTTTTCTTCTAAACAAAAATCAACTTTAGTTACACGTTTCTGATTTTTTGTGATACAGTCACAAATTTGCTTACAATTAATTACTAATATAAAAATTAGGATATTCTAATATCCTGAAATTATGTAACTATCTACACAAAATATGTCTATACAAAAAAAAATTAGTCGAAATTAATCGTAACGGACTAGAACAATTATTACTATATTAGCTGTTAGTTGCATTTCTTAATTTGTTATATTTTTTTATAAAATATTTACGTCTCTAATTCTGAACCGAGCTTGATACTACTTTTGAAATCGATCAAAAATTGTTTAAAGTAAAAAAAAAGAGTTAATTTATGAATTCAGTTGAATAAATGAATGCGCGTTTTAAATTCAAACATTTTTATTTTATGTGTGTACGAAGTGTTGTTCGTGTTTTTCTTATGGAGTAAAATATATTCAAGATTTGTGAATATTATGTAAAATGTACCTAAATAGACTGGCAATTATTTATGTTCACTGAAGATATGGCCACAACGTTATAGTTTATTACGAGGTCTGTCCGGAAAGTTCGTATAAAAGTGTTTTGGAATGCGAGAAAGAGGAGTGGGGAGGCCAGGTAAGCGCAGGACCCCTTCTTTATGTCCCTAACAATGCTTCAGTTCTGGTCTGACAGCCGTGCGGTGCGAACTGGCTTGTCACGCCATCTGTGAAGTTACCTCTTAACGAAACCCCGTCGGCATGGAGCCCGCTTCCGTTGAAGAGTATCTAAATTAATTTAATGATGCTGTGAGCGGCATAGAGAGGGCTTATATGTAGATACACGGCGTATAATTATGCGCTGAGTTGATTTGTTATTGTATGGCCACAACGTTATAGTTTATTATACCTATTTCTGTGGTACGGCAGTGCTCGAATGATTGTTATGACGGGCCACTTCCGTATTACTCCCAGATATTTTCCAGGGATTTAGTTACTTGACGTATTGTTTAGTCTTTTTCGGTGTGTATATATTTGATTAAATTACGTGACAATCTTAAAATGCTGAGGTTAAATTACGTGATCGACAAATTGGTAACTACATATGCTAATGTAGGTAGATACTTTTTTTTTTTTAATATTTCGAATACTGAGATAATTTAAAATCTTAGATTATATAGATAGAGCATCGAACCTCAAAAACGGATCAACTTTTTGTCAGCCAATTGTCAAATTAGTTGACTCGTTTTTTAATTAATATTCTATATATTTACGCATAAAATGTATCTTGACACATTATTTAATAAATAAAATGAGTATTTACGCTTTTAAAAAGAAGTAGAATTTATAAGACAAAATGAATATAAAAGTTATAAAGGAGTCACTCATAATTCATCACACAAAATTATATAAAAAGTTGACCCGCTTTTCTCGAAACATTTGTATGGAGACACTCTATTTATATAATATAAGTTTAAAATATTATAAACTTTTATATTATTCACTATACCCTGCATGGGCATTTATTTTTAATGAAACTTAAAATTACAAACAAGCTTACAGAAAATGGTAAAATGAAATTGATGGCGGTAGTCATGGTACACATAGATTGCCATTCTTGAGAACTATGGTGTTATGCTTCCGTACCCTTTTATTTCATAGCTGTATTCCACTCTTCAGACCGAAATACAATCATGTATACACGGCAAAAACAAGAGCGGAATAGAGTGCCCAAGCAGATGACTTCTGAACAGTTGTCCTCTGGTTGAATTAAATAAAGGGAAAACAAACATGAACATATTTCCTCTGACTCTGTCAGATGAATAAGAACGGGGCAGTTTTTTTAATGGGTGATGATGAAATAGTAACCCCAGCTACATTATCGGTATACACTGACGGGGCACCGATGAGTGATAATAGGTGAGGATATAAAGACAGGTCAGTTAACCCATCGTGATGAATACATTTGGAATTCAGCACGATGGTTTCCGGGGTGGACCACACAAGCCCTTAGTCTCCGTTATTAACAACCCCTCTCCACAATGGGGCAATTAAAAGTTAATTTGTTATGTCTAAACCAGATTCATTACTATTTACAGAATGTATAATTAACGGACAACGAGTGCGGGAGGGGCGCGATGTAAGGATCCCTGAAGAGCCATGTCTCTCTTGCCGGTGCGTGCGAGGTGCGCTGTCTTGTGCCAAGCGTGCGTGCCCCGTCCTGCCGTGCCATTCCAGTCAGCAGTACACGCCGCCGGGAGAGTGCTGCCCGCGGTGTTCAGATCCCACCTTTGATAAAATACTTCCTAGTAAGTATTTAAAATTGTAAATTATTATTATTGAGGGTCGGATTATTTCTAGCAAAAAACATGTAGCATTGCAACCTTATAGATTTACTTACCCATTGAGGTCAGTTTGTTTATAATTCTTAGTAGAAAGTATAATTCGAGTAATAATGTAATAATAAAGTTCACTGCATATTTTGTAATTTCTTGGCGGCGATATTGATTAAATCCTCAGGATACAGAGTGTATTTACCAAAAGAGACAATTTAACGTTTGCGCATAAGTGGGCTGCAACCATTTATGATATGTTGTCAACATAGCAGAATCCGCAAACTCACTTACTATAATGGTAGTATAAATATCTATAGCAGTGATTCTCAACCACTGTGCCGCGGCACTTTTGTGTGCCGCCAAATTTTAAAACTTTGCAAATATTTAAAATTTTTGTCATAAACTATTTATGCAGTGTGTTGTAATAAATAAATAAATTTTATCTTTTTCTTTGTGTGCCGCCAAATATTGAAATCGTTAAATATGTGCCGCAACAAAAAAAAGGTTGAGAATCACTGATCTATAGTATCCTTTAAGTATGTGAGTAACTCTATCTGTGACTTTCAAAACACATAGATTCAAACCAAGCTATAATTATTTATTTAGTATATTTCCAACTGTGGAAGCGGAAAATTAAGCAATTGACATTTAAGTAATATTAAAATTAATATTTTTTATCACATTTGACTCTAATAATAATTTTATTTACAATAATTAGTGGAAATAAATATTGTATTGACGTTATGAGCTGAAAAAAAAAATATAATTTATTTTTGTTAATGAGTCCATTTATAAATAAATGGGAGAAAAGTGAATTACCATTTCATCTCAACATTCATACCTACCTGAGTATCTAAATACTGTTACGCTAAAAAGTTATGATAGATAACCTAGAGAGTAGAGATTTTAGATATGCCTCTATTTTTATCTTACATTATAATTCAATCGTATGGTCCATTCTTGAGTTTGGCTCAATTGTTTGTAAGTCTTGGTACAAAACGTACATTGATGAAATTTAATATATATTGGTAGATTCCTAAAACATTTAAAATTTTAACTTTCTTCTCTTAAACAAAAAATCCTTATTATATCATTTTTCATTAATTGTTGTTTAGAGTGAGATCGAATATTTTTAATTAAATTGTTGAAAAATTATATTGATTCTCCTTTTCTTTTAAATAATATTAATTTCAGATGCCCCCAGATTAAACTCACATAATAAGCTACAACTATTTAGTGTACCCTTTATGAAGAGGATATATGCTGAAAATATATTCATATTTCACGTTTGTACCAACTACAACAAATTATTCTCCAAAATTTAATAACGCGATTGCAGTGTAAAAAAAGTTGATTAGGAATAATATGAAGAATTCAATGTATTTTTATTGCTGTATATCGAATCTTGTCTGCTCTGTATGTAATAGTTATTAGTGGAAACTTTGTTGCTTACTAAAAATTTATTAATTATTAATTGTACTGTTAGTTTCCAAAATAAAATAAAAATAAAACCTTAGTAGAAAAATAAAGCCTCATCTCCGAAACTCAAGACAAATATTTTAATGTATGTTTTTGTTCATTTTCAGGGAACACAATTGCTAAACCGTGCATTATAGGCAAAGAGTTCCATGCACATCGTAGCAAATTGCGCGTGGATCCATGCACAGACTGCACTTGCCTGAACGGGACCGCAGTATGTTCGCGTCACACTTGTCCTGTACTGACATGCGGTGCTAGAGCACTGCCACCAGCACCAGGAAAGTGTTGCCCTGAATGTCCTCAAGTAGAAGAGGCAAAAGCCGCTTGTATCATTGGCGGTGCCGTGTATCAGGTATTTTTACTTACTATACTCGTATACACCTTGTACTTGAAAATGTAGGGTTATCGTTTACTATTCAATAATATAATATGACACAATTTTTTTTTTATTTTGTAGGATGGCGAAACGTGGCAGTTAGATGCATGTAAATCATGTGAGTGCCACAGCGGGGAACCACGATGTGCGATGGAAAGATGCCCTACTTTAAACTGTCGCCCGGATCAGACGCTGCAGCATTTAAGTGGTCATTGCTGTCCTAAATGCGTGGACGCTGATGGGATTTGCACAGTTTTCGGTGATCCTCACTATAAAACTTTCGATGGAAAGTTTTATAGTTTTCAGGGGTCATGCAAGTATCAACTAGTATCCGATTGCGTTAACAACACATTTTCGATAAGAATATCCAACGATGCAAGAAATACTTTACATTCTTCGTGGACTCGTACAGCAACACTTCGAATAGGTTCGACGAGAATAAATATGGGCAGAAAGATGCGAATAAAAATGAATGGACGAAGATTAATATTACCCTACAGGATAGACGGTGTTGGAGAAATAACTCGTACTAACGGATCAGTGTTACTGAAAGCCGATATAGGAGTACAAATTCTGTGGGACGGAGACGGTTTCTTAGAAGTGACTGTATCTAGTATTTACCGGGGCAAGTTGTGTGGTTTGTGCGGCAACTTCAACTCATTGGCGAGAGATGATATGCGAACTCGCGATGGAAGACTATTAAATGATACGTGGAAATTTGGGAAGTCATGGCGAGTAGGCGGGAAACACGCGTGCACGAGACTTCAAGAGCGGCCAAGCAGGCACTCTCGATGTCAGCAGTCAAAGCCTGGGCCGCAAAGTGTAAAGGCACGCCGTCTCTGTCGGGGCTTCAATCGGTACACCGCATTTTCTGACTGTAGTGCAAAAGTGAATCCGCATAATTATCGGGAAGCATGTGAATTAGACGCTTGTAGTTGTACAGGTATGAACTGTCACTGTGCTGCTTATAGGGCATATGCTCGGGAGTGTGCACGTGTAGATGCTGAGCCTCGGAATTGGGAGCGGGAAGCGTGGTGTGCTGGCGAAATCGCACCATGGCTAATCCGCGGCCGCAAGGCATATGGCCGTGTTGCGAAGGTGAATGAATCACTACCGATAGGTGCGATACCCAAACTGAACGGTAATCGACCTCGACCACCGCCTCCTATACTGCATTGAGAATTATTGCAACAACATCGCTACTAGTCAAACCTGCCAGTGTCGCGTGTATGAGGTAACTGTAATTTTTACTTAGTAAGATTATAGTTATTAACATTTTCTTTGATTATTTCAGCAATCTGAAAAGCTGATTACCGTATAGCTACAAACATTACTAACTTTACGTTAAATTAATGTTTTCTTTATATATATAATAATTTGGACTAGCAAATAAGTTGAGCGCCTTATATATGTTACATCAGTACATCATTGAATAGACTGTTGTCAGGGTTATCTCTCGTGCATTACTATTTCTGAGGACTAAAATGTTTTGTCTCTGTACCCTGTAATTTCATTTATATATCCCGCACTTTAAACCAAAACACAGCCATACAAGCATAGCCAATTAGTAGCGGAAAAATAATGGGATAGATGTACTGAAGCTTTACCACTACTTATGTACAATCTGCCTATTATTACAATCGCAACAAAACATATTATGTGATATATTTTGTTGTCCATAATAATAATACAATTTTAATATTTAACATGATTAATTTATTTTGTATCTTAGTGATAAAATAAGCTTTAATATTAATGATTAAGTTTAAGATTTTTTTATTTTATGATCCCAGTGTGGAAAATAGTTTTTCTCATTACTAACCATTATACGACTACATGCCGGAGCATTGACTGTTTCGTTGAATTCATCTTAAGTGTTATAATTACAGTCTTAGCAATATATGATAATAATATAAAATAAATAGTACCCATCTATTAAAAACTTACATTTAACCTCAGATGAATTATGTGTATTTAACAGTCGGGTTTTTGATACCTTTTTCACGTTAACTCCATATTTTATTACATCTATGATTTTATTAAAAATACAACCAAATTTAATTTAATTTTTCAGAGTATTACAAGAATGAACTGTTAAGCTGTATGTAAGTCGCGTCGGAAAATCATAAACAGCTTTACTTGGAAGAAGATCTATCTACTACTTAACAGTATTCATGAGACTACTTCTAGTTAAGTAAACAAGTACATAATAATATTAAGATCAACTTAAAGCTCATTATATTAGGTACTGCCTCGCAAATTTCAACCAGCATCATGTTTAAATTATACTTAATTAATTGCCTATCCAAAGATACGAGTGTGTAGAAAATGTAACGTTCTAATCAAGCACAAAGTACGTATTTGTAGATTTCTGGTACATTGTCAGTAGGTTGTTATTTTACTGAACAAATTAGTTATGTAAATAAAAATCTCGACTTTGTCTTATATAATAATGGTACTAATTTTTATGGCTTATTATGTTTCGTAAATACACATTATAAGTATTTCATTGCAAACTTGGATATGTAATCTCATTAAATTTCTGTTATAAAAATACGAGGACACCTTGAAAAATGAACATAAGTTTTAAAAATAATATGACTGGATTAATTAACGTGTATTTTGTCGAGCATGCTTTACTAGTTTTGGGACCAACCAAAACTTATTTTTGTAATAAAATTACTGGAAATTTCACATATTAGTAAAATGGTACCAACTAGATTTACAGCTACCAGTAGATAGTGAAATAATAAGTCTTTTTAAAAAAAAACCTATTTGTATTGAAAAGTAAATTTCTTAATAATCTTTGTGTTGGTTGTAGTTTAAGTAACTGGCAGATGTGCTTCGAGTTAAATAAATTACTAATTTATTTATTACATTCTAACGCTGAACGTTTCAATAAAATGTGATAATTAGCTTTGAACGATATTTCAGGCAGGAGATGAACGTTTGGTTAAACATAGTTCAAATTGAGATCTCATCCGTAGGTAGTTCTTTATGAAAACTTAGATAAATCTAGCTATCCGAAGCCAAGAAGCTAATGAATTTGATTGAAACACGGTATGTACATAATACGTAACACATTGAACAGTAAATTTAGTTGTAACTTTAACTAAAGACTTGTTCTTAGTTTTTTAATACGTTACCAATGAATTTTAAATTTGACTTAATAATATTAAATAATTTTAATGATTATTATATACTATTCAATTGTAATGCATATAAGTAAGCATCGTCGGAAGAAACTTGAATGGAGAAGTTAGAACTGAATTAGAATATAATGTATATTTTACCTAATAGGTATTTTGGCTGAGAATGTTTTACTCAACCTTTTATTTTTGTAAAATAATCTTATTTATATTAGTAGAAAGTATTTTAATGTATTGCGTCATTGCGTCTTTTGATAATTTATTTATATGAAGAATGAAGAGATCCTCTAAATTTGTGTCAAAAAATATATAAACTTCTCCATTATTATTTTTAGTTATATAAAGAAATTCTGATAAAATATATTCATATTGAGTAATATAAGTGCGAACTTAATCATGATTTCCTGTACACATATTACTTCTATAAATATGTGCTAAGTGCCATTAAATATGGCTAAATTGACAAAATTGTGATAATGTATGCTTTTAATTGTCTGACCTTTTTATTTAATGTCCTATCTGTACGAGTATAATTAGCTATGTATAAATTTTCTCTCTCTCTCTCTTCGTCTCTCTCTTTCTCTCTAATTATAATAATATTTTAAAATTGACATATAAATAGATATTGGTATCTAGCAATGTTTTTTAAACCTAAATGTATTCTTATAATTATAAAATACATATAGTGCTTAAAATTTAAAAATTGTTTTCACATTTAAACAGCATATATATATATATATATATATATGTTTATGTATTATATTTGAAAATAATAAATAGATACATGCAGTAGTTGGACGCAGCTATCCTCGAGAAAGCCGCGTTTAAATAACTGATAATGAATTATGAACTGTCGCTTATATTTGTTAAGTATCCATTCCTGTCTTTATTTTTTATCTACATTATTCTTATTTTTAAGCAGGGCCTACGTTTTATGTAGGCTTTTAAATTATTTGTGAGTTATATTTGGTATTTATAAGTATTAAGTAAGTAAATCGAATTTTCATTTTACTATCTACCTATATATTGTACTTATCTGCATAATAAAGTACAATGTTTTTGGAAGACTATTATTATCAATTTATATATTGTATTAAGTCTTTTGTTGTTATTGTTAAAGCCTTAATTTAACTTACGGGGTTTGTGAAAAAGTGTCATAAATCATATTTGAACAAACCACCAAAAATTTGATAATCAATGTTTATAGGTAGGTATTATTTCAAATGCCATATTAATGAAATATTTATTAATGCATAGATCGATCTATGTATCATATAATTGTTGAAATTAAATTAGCATGTAAGAATGTCATAACGTTATAGTTCGCTTTATGCCTTAATGTTTGTAAAGTTATTGGCCCAATAGTTTACAAAGGTAAATATTGTAAACTATTAAACGAAGAAATAATACATAATAATAAATAATTATAAATAAAATGTGTTCTCATTTACTAAAACTAAAAATTGGAATAATCTCTCAAATAGACCTATTACTTGTTGCTGGCAGGTAGCCAAGTTACTGGATTTTATGTCATCAAAATTATCTAGGACAATTTGGCGTCTGTTTTAAAAACTGCGAATTCATTATATTTATCTTGATGAAAAGTATCTGGAAACTAAATATAATTCTTAAAAGAATGTTGTTTTGGAAGTTTTTCTTTCATAATATTTCATATTAAATGTGTTGTAACAAATTGGACGTTCAATACAAAGGCGTTCAACAATTTCAAAGATTATTTAGAAATATTATAATTAAAACATAGATAGTAGAATAAAAGATTTATTAATAAGTAGGTATAAACATTACGCAGTCACACACATCAATTAAACAAGAACAAATATTATTTTGTACAATACATACATAATACTTTAAATGTTATACGATCGAAGTTAGATGTTAATGATCTTGTCCAATGTTCCCTAGTTTCGAAAGGTTGAAGTACCGAAATGTAGAAAATAACTTAAATTAGAAATTAATATATTATAAAAAAGAATAGAAATATAGTGTTTATTCTCCCGTCATCATTTCCATGAACTCTGTAACAAAAACAAATAAATATTTTTAATACATTGTGGCTGGATGGTTTGAATAATTAAGTCATTACAAGATACTTATGGATTAGGCAGAAAAAATTGAGCTCCTAAAACAGTCGTTACTTTAATATAAAAATATTATCATATTTTCTCGATTCACACAACAAGTTATATATATGAAGATAATTCTACTGACTTGAACTGAAAATAGCGTATTTAAGTATTTCAGCTACTATCATATGTTCTGTGACATTATTCCAAAATAGGACAAAAGTGGTGATCACTATTTATCTAATAGAATCCATGATATTCTTTACGTTAATGAAGTTAAAACATTTCTGAGGGGAAATATATTTTTTTCCATTTGGACCATTATTGATTCAAGACCTCTTCTACAAAGAATATTTTTAAGTCACTTGTATCCATCGATGGTCTTGTAATTACTTATAATTAATTTACGACAAAAGAATATGCACCGTCAAAGTCCACCGTGCCGCTGCCATCAGTGTCGATTTCCTGAATTAAACCGTCGAGTTCCTCGTCTGTTAGCTGCTCGTCCAACTCGCGCAGAATCTCGCGCAAGCTCGATGTGGGAATGTAACCGTTGCCTGGAATAAACATGGAAAATATTATTTTCATTAGCAATGTGAAGTAGCAAAAGCCCTATAGTAGCACACAATGGCACGGGTACTACGAGTGTCGTAGTGTATTCTGTGATGTTCTTGATACCATTTTATGTCTATAAGTATAGACGATGTTTACCACTTACTGTCAGGTGCATGAACGATTATTTTATACTCATAGTTTTATTTACTCTATTTTTGTTAAAAAATCAATGGATTTTTTAAATTTTCATTTGGAATAATAAACGAAAATAATGGACAGAAAGTTGAAATTAATATCTGGTATAAAAGAGTATAGACTTTAAATAGATGTATACACAATTATTTATTATTATTATTTTTCATTAATAGATTTTTGAAATTATTAGTATCTAGTCTTTAAGAACTATATAAATTATAAGAAAATGAACCTTTTAATGTCAACTAAGCCCTTAATCTAATTTAACCAGTTTTGAGTCAGTGCCAAACAACTAACGAAACAAATAAAATACTGGGCAATTACCGGCGAAGCTTCGAGCATTGACCAGGTCGGAGATTAGTTACGCAAAAAGACACTATTAATTATATTTTTATTTATGGTCTACAGGCCTATACAGACAGATGTCGTAAGCATCTAAATCTCTATAAAAAGTAAATGTGCCATTACTAAATCACTTGCTTTGATGTTACAAAAGTATTAATTGACATAAATCTTCCCGTTTTATTAAACTTTTGAAAAGTTTTTTTGCACATTTATAGAGTTCATCTAACTTTCATTAGGACACTTCGAATATGAATTTGGTGTGAATTTAATACTGCCTACTCCTTCGAGTCTATTAAACATAGGACTAAAAATGTACTCGCACATAATGTTGCGACTTCTATTTTAAATCTACGAGCATCACTTAGATTATTAAATCTAAGAGAAAGGTTGCACACTACATTACAAACTGTGAAATTTATCCGAAGAATTTTTTTTCTTTTACTACACTTAGATGTAACAATTATAGTTGTACAAATTTAAATGAGGTATACGAGTATATATAATCCGTACAAAAGAATCATCGAACGCTCTGTAACTTTTTAATAATTCACATACGGTGTATCATAAACAGTATTTTTAAAAAAATTATAGAATTTATTTGAAGTTTTACCTTCCTTGTCGTACAATCTAAAAGCTTCTCTAAGTTCTTTCTGCATGGCCTCGGTATCTTCCTCAACAATGAACTTGGCAGCTAAGGTGACGAACTCTCCAAATTCAAGACGACCAGATTCTGAAATATTATAGGTATGAAGTGTTCGGTTATATTAGATAGAAGCTATTGAAGTAGATTTATATTAGTGAACTATCCCGGCCATGCACGATTTCTTTTTTAATAAAAATATAGCCCATGTTACTTGCTAATTGCCAGCTTTCTATCAGGTTTAATAGGTTACGTATTTCCTTAATGTTTATTACTAAATACCATTTCAAAAACTGAAAGAACTCAAATTAAATTTAGCACGCCAAATCCTGAAATAATACAGTATACTTTTATCATAATCCAAGGGCATGTAGCTATGGACTACAGCTTGTTTAAATATTATAATAATAAATATAATATAAACCAATAAAATAAACTTCATTTAGATAAATTTTAATGACTCTGAGATGACTCGTGCAATGTAATAAATTTAGCTTGTGGTATTCGCTATTATTTTTGGAGAAACTATGTTTTATAAATCCACTATAACATATTTTGTAACATATTAAAAATAATTATAAATATGTATTTTAAAATAGATCCGCCATAAAAAACAGCTTTTGGCACAATTATAGATCAATGACCTATGCCAAAACGAATGTAAGTTTTACACAGAAAAATAGTTTTAATACTCACTGTCGGCATCGACTTCTTCGATGAGTTCCTCGAGGATCTTCTTGTTAAAAGGCTGTCCCATCATTCTAAGGATATCTGCCACGAAGTCGCAAGGGATACTGCCCGAGCGGTTGTGGTCGAAGCCATCGAACGCCTTACGCAAGACTGGAATAAATAACACTTGTCTTCAAACATCTTATTGTTAGCTATACGAATTAACATGTATCAGGAGTATATTGAAATGTCCTGATAATACCTTCAATGTTGAAAGGATGCATGGTAATACAAATTTGTTCCTTATTTGAAATTACTGCCTGAGTGTTACGCAATAAGAGAGCGTGTAAAGGAGAGAAACTTGCAATGCTCCTGCACTGTCAATAAAAAGAGTCACACTGATCGTTTGGTCGGCGGGATGCGTTAGGATTAGGACAGTACCTAGTTCATTGCACTGAGGTGCAGTGCAAATAAATTGTGCAACGTAGCTATTTCTGGTAGCCCAGCGTGGCGCAGTCGATCAGAGTGCTGTTTGCTGCATTTCATCAAATATAGGCCAATGATAAATAACAACTAAATTTTTTAGTGTAATTTATTATCATAAAAAATCAGTAAATATATTAATGCATAAATATATCTATACAATCTTCTATGTCTATATAAATTTCCTATTATAAACGCAAGAATTCAAGGGGCTTCAAGAAAAAGAGGTGAGGTAATTATATCTATAACCATTAATAACACCATCATCATAAATGCTAGAATGTATCATAAAGATGTCATATATTTAATAAAGACTTCATTGTGTTTAGAGCTATATATTTGAATTTGCGTCATAATTTTCTAAACAAAGAGATATAAAGCTCACAGAAATAAACTTCTCTAGATTTTTAATGTCTCGCTTGAAAGATAAGTTTTTTAGTGTTTATTAAATATAAATTATAAAGTATTAAATTTTTTTAATATTTATTGTAATATTATTATATATATTACCCATTGTAGGTATTTTTATTAATCTTTAAAAAAATTGGTCGATGAAAGTTGTTTGTTTAATAATGAGGAAAGGAGGAAATTTTATTAATAAAATAAGTATGCGTGTATGTACTGTATTCGTATTTATACTGTTTATTTGAATTTTCTAATTGTCATTCTGGTGCAATAAAGAGTTAAATAAAATAAATAAATAAAGAATACATACAATTATATTCTTCTTGTTTCTTCTACATTTTGCAATAGAGGAGGATTTCGATTGTGGATTGCACGAAGGCATATTATCTTAGTCCTTGGAAATTGCAACGCATGAGGAGTACCATGGGCGTTACAGTATATATTGAGATGTTCATAGTACTGGTTATATCTACAGACGACGGTTATCATTTTTTATATGGTGAGCCGATAGTTTGTTTGCATCTTTAATTATCACAATCGAGTTTAATAAATTGAAAGTAAGACTCAGCAATTTTTTTTTATTTATATATTTAAGATTGATTGATGGCCGATTTTGACAAAAAAAAAAACACAAGATTATGATATGGTAAATCTCAAGAGTCTGGAGTAAAAAATAGCAATAATGATGTATGCAACATTAGATTTTTCTGTAACATTGTTTTATTATTTTACTAATAAAATTTTCTGTATATTTATAGAGGAAATAAAAATTTACTGTATATTTTACTGTGATTTAAATAGCACTACTTCTGAAAATTAAGTTATTTATTTGTATTTATTAGATGTGGTTTTTAAAATGATTTCAAGATTTATTTATTCAAAACTTATTCCGATCATAAAACTTTTACTTTTATGATTCCAATACACTTTAAAACACAATCAATTTAAAATATACATTGGGGCTAAAATAAAAAATACATGCGGCCGACTAAAATAACATATGTGCTGGAATACAGACAGTATCTAAATCAGACACGTTTCATTCTCCGTGTTACTGCGATTTAAATAAATGATTTCGTTAAAAGCTATGCGCTCTTCTGAGCCATTTTTTGCACTTCATATTTCTTGTAAACAAATTATAATACTAATTTAAATATTCCATAGGGAAATATCAATGATAACTAGATTCATGATAATTTGACCATTTATCATCGCTTTTTAGTATACTTACTGTATATTTTGTAATAAAAAAATATAGGTATCTGAAATAGTTAAAGCAGTATAGTATCGCAGATGATTGGTGATAAATGGACACCACATTTCACACTTCTCCGGTATTCGCAACTAACATTATTTGCTTTATTGAGACCCTGACGCAAATAACTAAGGCGAATAAATGAAATACAGCCTAAGAAAGATTTGCGATAAAGTTATTTTCACAATTTTTATATGCAATTTTAAATTCCTGTACTCTCTTTTCGTGAAGGAGAGTTGACGCTATCTGTGTGCAGCTGTTCCGCAATATTTTGGCAACAAAATAGTTTAAAAAACATGATTTTTATTTTTGCCTGGGCGTCGTGTTGTTAATTTTAATCGTCAAGATGTCTTGGCAGTTGTCTCAAAGTTCCATGAGCTTTTATTACTTTTTTCTAGATTTTACTCGTTTATTAATTACTCGCCCACGGACCGCCGCTCGGCTTTCTTCAATATGAGTTCATCGTTAGTTTTAATAAGCATAAACAAATTAGTAATTATTTAATATAAGGTATGATTATAATTTTGAGATAGTTCTCGCTATATTATGGTATTGATGTCTATGCATGCTTACTTAAATACGGGCTATACAAATAACTGGTTGTGTATTAGGAATCACAATAACTTGGGAATTATTTAGTACTAACAATCATAAACGTTCAGTCACTGGCACTTTACCAATAATTATAAAAAGCCCAGAAATTTCCTTTATTGTTGTTTTATTTCTTTGCATCACAAATGACTTTCAGAACAAATGAGAGCAAATATTTCTGTCTCTAGATATTCTAAACTAAAAAAAAATATTACTGCTTCTGCAAGTACCATATATTGCAGTACTTTGCAAATGAAAAATGGTTTTGATTTATATCAGGGAGACTAGAAACTCTAATAAAATGGGGTATAAAATGTTATACTGTAGAATGATTAAAATACAGCGCAAACAATCGCAGGTAAAAAAAAATTAGTTTTAAAAAGTCTTACCCAGAAACTGAACCCAAAGAATCTAAAATATTTTGCAAAAATAGTTTTTCCAAATGAATTATATGTGTGAACAAGGACAAAAATATATGTTAGTCATAGTTAGGAATAGAAACACTAACAATAACATTTGACTGTGTTTGATATTTTCGGTTTCTCTGGAATATTGAGAACACGATATTGGTTAAACAATTACGATGGAAATCTTCTGATTTTCGTGCTACATTGGCAGAGATCCAACGCTAACCGCATGACCCATCGACTTTTAGATTTATCTCGACGGCTATGGGTTATTGAATCTATGAATGACGACTGCGATAGTAAAATGGTAGTCGTAGGTTGCTTTGCATGATGAGTTCATTTATTCGGTGAGATTTAAATACTACTAATAACAATGTAGTAGGAACTGCTCGATGATAAAAGGAAAACATCAAGCAATATGGCCAACAACAGTATATAGAGATATGAAATTGTTGAATTTTGTAGAGAAGGATGCATGTAATAAAAACAAATGGAGCCATATGATTAGGAAAATTGGCGAGTGACAAGAAAAAGTAAGGTAGATAAGAGAGAAAGAGAGAAGAAGAATGGTACTGAGTACTTGATGATGGTTGTTATTTAATTTCTCATAATAATTCGTGTTTTTAACCTAGTTTAAATTATAGACGTGATACTTATCACTAGCAATATTAGCAATATTTTTTATCTTTTTGTATCAAAACACTTGTTTTAGTATTTAGACTCGGATTACTATATTTGGTACGGGTTTAACAGATCAAGTTATTTGCAATGTTTCTATTAAAAATATTGATTTAATAGAATGTTTTTTATTTCTGTTAATTACTTACTAAAACATTCTATGAATAAGTACTCAAAAACTAGTAATCTTTCTTTTTGGATTTTTTAGTATATGTGGATATTTATATAAAAAATTGTTGCTTCTATTCCGAATTAAAATTTTTCCTGTTGTTAATTTCATTTTTATTAATTTAAAAATAAAATAATAAAAATATGTAGTTCTTTATTTATTTTATAATAATTTATTTTATTAAATTGTTAGAGCCTTTACAAATATACTAGCAATTGTTCGTGACTTTATATCTACAATAATTTAATCTGATCTAATTTACGCATCTGCGTAAATTTTAAAAGTTGAAAATCCAATAAAATATACCACTTCTAAATAACGTATCAAGATTAAACATACATCACGTTTTAAGTTCGACATTTAAGAAAATAACTGCAAAAATCGCAAATAATTTAGTGCAGTAGTTTTACCGTGATGCTAAAATAATTAGACAGACAGATAAAAATTCATGAAATTAATTGTAGAGTACTTCTAATTATTAAGTTTTATACATGTTGTGTTCCATATATAAGACATGTTTTTTGTTTGCTTTGAAAACAACTGGTACAATGTTAGTCACAAGGAATAAATAAAATTAAAATCTGTCCAAGTCAAGTTGTCAGTTACACATCATATTTTGGTTGTTAGCCGGCATCACTCAGATCACACGACAATTTCATTGTCACTGTCTTCGAGCGTGTCTAGTTGTCTACAGACAAATGGTTGAGTTGTTTATTTTCTTACTTTTATATTTAACATTCAAACACAAGAATGATTAACGGTTTTTTAAACACTATTTTATAAGCTGTCAACTCTCACTACAGTGGATGCTAATTTGTTTGATCATTGAAATGACCAGTGTGAGTATTAACCAAAAACTGACACGTATAATATAAAGATGGACTTAGAATAAAATGACAAACAAATAATCACAACATAAAATTAGTCTAAATTAAAAAAGAAATGCTGAATTATCCAAGAATGTTCTTCATTATTTTTTTCTGTAACTAATAATTTAATAGCTCTTAACGCCCTTGCTTCTTTTACTATTTTTATTGTATACTTAACAGAAACTGAATGAGTGCAAACTGACGATGATTTGCTCGCATAGTCTCAATCCATCTTAACAGCAAAACGAGTTTTCAATTAGTAAATAAATCGGAATGTATCATTATAATGCTGATTCTACTAAAATTATGTTTCTATAAACAGTAAAATATGCGAAATTGTTTGAATTTGTAAGTCAATTATACGAGATATTCAGATGGAACATATTCAGAATTAACACAATTAATAAAGATAAGTAGAAATCTTTTTATCCTAACTTATGTTGGTTACTTAGATAGTTATAACTAGTCTGATATAATCACATTACACGATGTCTTGTGTGTGATTGATAATAGGAAACAAGAGAGAAGCTTTATTTCATGAAACAAGTGATAGACACGGTCCACTAAAATATATAAAAATAAAAATTAATAATAGGTCGTAGTAACAAATGTACAAATACTTGTATATTAGGAAAAAGAAAGACTGGAACTAAATATTCTCTAATTGGTAATTATAGTAATTATTATTTTTAATCACAGGGCTATATATATATATATATATATATATATATATATATATATATGAGTATTTATTTTATTTATGCATTATTTTTTGCAGCAACGATTTAGTTTTTTATTCAACTAAGTTTTATTTAAATATTATATAGAAGCATCGTAGAATTTATTATTCACTCTAATATTATTGAGTACTTCTAAATATAAATACTCAGCTTTCTAGATTTTAAAGGTGACTTATAAAATATACTCTTGTAAGCCTACATATATGTGTACCAATATATGTGAGTAAATAAAAATACACTTACATTATTTGAACATACTAAAAAAGTACAGGCGTTGCGTCTAAAAATAGTATTATTTTTTCAAGAGCCACACCTTCTGTAGTTGATTTTAATGTTATTTTCGTACGCATAATTAAACCCACGCGCGATAGGAACAATTAATTTACTATGCTAGTCCCGCATCTGTTTTTATTAAGTCGACCTCCATTGTGTGCTTGGCGTGACGCCAATAGTTAGCTTGCGATTTTTTATGTAAACATGGATTGCCGAATAGAATTAGTTTTAAATAATAGTTAAAATAAACTTTTAGTTCTTCAAGATGAATATGTTAAACTATTAATTATATTGTGTTATTGAGGTTATATGAACAGTGTGATGCAACTTATGAATTAAAAATATACGCAACGTTCAAGCATAATTAAATAGTGCTAAAAGTTTTTAAAATCTATTTTATTTTCAGTTTTTAATTGAATTTTATACACATTATATTGCTATGGCTTGCAATTGTAAAACTAAATATTAAGGTAATACCGATTTATTTTGGTTGTATTTAGAATTTCAAAATTTCAATGTTGTCACGTTTTGGTGTTTATATCGTTGTTTTACATATGTGACTTTGTCAAGAATAACGTATAATATAAAATTGAAGGGAACTCTAATTTTATTTGTTTTGTAATAACATAGCCAGTTTTCTGTTCTAAAGTAATATTATATATATATATATATAATCTATAACTAATATAATATATATATAATCATTATATTGGTTTGTATATATATCGTATATTATATACTTAATGTTTTTTGTATACTCATTCTGTTGGTAATGGCAATCAAACTAACATATAGTAAATTACTACTGAACATACTTACCAGCAATCTGTTCTGCTGGGAGCTCATCAGCCTGAAACAATGTATAAAGTGATTAGTAAAATTAAAGAAGAACACTTGTTCTGAACTTCTACAACATCGGCAAACGATTAAAAATTATTTCACATTAAAATTTCAGGATGCGGATGTTTAACATTTTAGTTATCAATTATATTAGGTATCAAGTGAAATTATAGGATACAAATTCATAACATCTGAGTCCTCAGAAACAGTAATGCATGTGAGATAGTTACCATTGAAGTAAATTGCACTGTTAATAAGGCTGCTTATATCTATAGAAGATGGTTACTACTTTCTATTAAATGGACCGTTAGATTGTTTTTTATACCAAATTGCATAAAAAAGGTAATTCTATAGCGTACCTAGCTTGTTTAGCTATTTTTTAGAACTGTATTAAAAAAGGACATGTTACTTCATACTGCATATATAAAATGTTTCCTTCTACTTTCAAAAACTAAAGGAATATTTACTTACACTTACCTCATAATTTTATTATGTAATGTATCTATAATTTACCTATTACTTGGCATTACGTTTAAATTAAAAAAAAATACCTTACTTTAGAATTGCATAAAAAATTAGTTAATATCTTTGACTGTAAATATTACGAGTAGGTACTGGAGCGTATAATCCAACAAATTAATCATCCATCACGACGCATAATATACTGAAAGTAGGTCATAGAGAGTGGAATCCCGTGGAAATAAGCGCTCTGCTTGGGTAGCAATAAATTTATTTTACGTGCAATTGATACTAAAATAGAAATTGTTGCACGGTTTCGATATTCATCCAAAATAATGTTTGCAGCTAATATTGCTTTAATATATGGTTTAGGAAGAAGTCTATCCTATGTAATAATCGTATATATTCTAGCAACTACAAAAGTGGGTGAAGCAAGAAATGTTAGAAACTGTTGGCACACGCATTTCTCTCTAGTCAATGTCTAGGGGACTTGACGAAAAGATATAATTAATGTAGAAAAATATTGTGTACTCTATTAAGCTATTTTTTTTTTGCTTAACAACAAGTTTATTTGTATGAAATTTTATATAAATAAAGATAAATGCATAATCACGTAATTACTCAATGATATCTTCGGTTTATTTATTTGAAAGAGAAAAAACCTTAAAATTATTTCAGAATTTTATTAATTTAATTATGCACTACCAATTTAAAGCAAAATTATATCGACTGGCTTATAGATATATTACCAATAAAGTAATTTTATTATATTGACTGACTAACAGACAGATGACCAATAAAGTAATCTTATGTGAACTTCAATTCCTGTTTTACTTTTTTGGTAAATATAGTGGCATAAAAATCAATATTATGGAATTAGCATGACTGTATATAAAAAACTATCTAAAATTTTTGTCGTAAATAATTACATTAGATAATATTTGAACTAGTAAATGGTCACAACTTTGTAGCGGTGTAAATGCATCTCTATGTATCAAATTTGATACATCTCCGTGTGTTTTTGTGATTGAGTATTTTAATGATTTAAAAATCTACATTTATAATTCTTATAGTAATCTCCTCCCATAGGACTACAGTTAAATCGTGTCATATTACGATGTTGGATTCCAAACTTAATATAAAATTTATTTTTAACAATGATCTTATTTCCATCACATCTAATAAGATTTAAATTGATTGACTAAATTTGATATTAGAAAGATATTTTGGTTAAAGGATATCTATTGTCCGAGGGTATTTCAGGTGGGTTGGACCGTCGTGATGAATTCATTAGGAATTGGGTATGAGTGCTGACTGGATTATAATTTCATTAATATTCGTTAAAAAATTAAACTCTAATAAGTTGACAAACCGACTTCTGCATTTTGTATGTGTTTAAATTTATATTAAATTTGTAGCAAAAGTTAATCTGATATTTTATGTACGAATGAGACATCCTTCCACAATGGAAATGCTTCCAAATGCCACTACAAAATTAATAATATTCTAATTGCGAACATATGTAAAGATATTTGTTTATACTAAATCATCATCAAACGACTGAATGGATTTGAAATTTGGCACGTAGACCATACCCTGACATATATCATAGGTTTTGTAATAGTGGGTTTGTTTATTTGTTTGTTACCTACTGGCGTCTTGACGGTTCAACTAATCGTCATAAAAAATAATAAATCATTTATTTTATTATTTATAATATTTTTATTTTATAATTATAATTTTATATTTTAAAATTATAATGATTATACCATTCTAAAATTAGTCTATTAATTTTTGTGTGGTACGTATACAAAGAAATAAACATGGATTTTAATATTAAAATTCTGTTATCTATGACAATGATTATTTATATGTAAAATTACAATTTGCAAATAATATTTGAATCTATACAGAAACGACTTCAACGCAGTCTTATATAGGTTGAAGATATTTTACACAAAAGTAATTTACACAAGTCTAAAAGAATAAAAATAAAACAACTGTCAGCACAGCAGCTGTCCTCAATCAGATCAGCTGCCGCTAAACATTTCGTCCAAATACGTTACTATTATCACAGCGGCTGTAGCGTCCAATCATGTTCATGACACTTGCTTCTTTTAATGCCTTTATAATGCCGTTTGGTTTTATGTATGTTTTCTTTATTGTTTGATATTATTAATAAATAAATAATTACTACAGGTTTGTGCTTATTGATGTGAATTATTAATTAGCATTGGTATGATTTTATTTCAACATCAGAAAAGTAAAAGTGTGTTAGAATATATAATAAAATTCTAATGTTAAATTTTTTTATAAGGTACCTACCCAGTCTTCGGTATCCAGAACCATGTTTGATGTCACTAGTTATCACTGTGAGACGCACAACACGACTGGCCGCGGAATCTTATTTTCCAGCGTTCAGGGTTATTTCTGCTTCTTCACGATATAGTCGGGCTTTCTGATACTTTCATATATAACGGGAGAGATGCGGGGGTGGTGGGGGGTCGGCGGCCCCTTCGTTTCGAGTCCTCACCGTCTTCCTGCGCTTGCGTCGACCAATCGCGTGAGCCTCAAACGGCAGGATGCTAATGTATTTTTAGCCGGAAACGTGGTCAGGAAAAACGTAAACAAGCGATGCGTGCGGTGTTCGAGGAGTTTAGGACAGAGTATACTTATGAGTACACAAGTAAACTACGAGTGTGTTGTAACTGGCGAAGAGTTGAGCAAGATCTATGGGGAAGACGAATGCGTAGTAGGTAACCCGAGACGGCGTCGAACGTTCTTTGTTAGCACTGTCGCTACCAGCGTCAAAGTCCAGAAGCTTTCAACACTGTAGACGCTGCAATGAAATTTCTTGTCATCACACATTCTTAATAAACTTATTAAATATTGCACATTATCGCTGCCCTTAATTTGTTATAAAAACTTCTAGTAGGTTACTACTCAAGTATCTAAATCCAAATTAGGTATATATATATTTGTTAATAGGTAATAATACATCAAATATTATACGATACAGTCTAGTTTTATAACTACAATGAAATATTAGGCCAATATATCACCCGTCCTTGGCCTGTTTGCAGGCTGCGTAATTAAACGTAAATGTGATATACAATGAAAATAATTTCAATTCGTATTATGAGCATAATTTGTTTACATTCTAAAATACTGTAATTACCATTGATCAGTTTCTCTGTAGATACTATTATCATTTAAATCATGAATGAAATTTAATTAATCTATACTAGGATGGGCTGCCTTCGATATAAGATTTCATATTGGAAGTCTGATAGTAATTAAATAACAATACATAAAAAACCTAATTTTAGAAAATATTTCGTTGCAGTGACTAGTGAGTGACCAATGATGCTCTCTCTGGGTCTGATCTTACTGTTCTTTGTTTTTTACGTATTTATATATTATAAATAGCGAAAAATCTGTTTAACTGAAACGCTTTAATTAAAAGCATTATTCTTGCAATAAAAAAGATTTTTAGTAATAGGGATTAATGACTGCATTACTAGCAATATATTCTAACAAGTCATCTTCATGTGGTAAAAAAAAAATTGTTTAATTCTTGATGAAATCTTCTTTATGGGCCGACTGACTGACCTGTTTTTATTCTTACCTATCATCATCTCTTACAGGTGCTTCGTCAGCGCATACTGATTGCGCAGGCGGGACTACTAATTCATTATAATCCACTGTTGTCTATATATTTAAATAGCATCATTGACATCACAGATTACATTATAGGGCTCGTTACACATTATTATCATGTTGTATCCTGTAACTTCACTGTTATATTCCATTCTTTAACCCAAATATAGCTACATAAAATATAAGTAATAGTAATTTGGTACAGCTATAAAAAAAAAACTTAAATGTACTTTAATAAATCAGTTTGGCAGCAGAAATCTTATTATAATCTTTTAAATGCAAAGAGTTTGTAAGGATAGATGATTGGATTGTCACTCTTTCACATAAAAACTACTAAACGGATTTGAACAAAATTTAGTACACGAATGGCTTTCGCATCATCATGGGCGATATAGTATACTCTGTTATGTCCATGATACTGTTCATTTCAATAGGCGACGGTTACCACTTTCTATCAAGTGGGCCGTTATTCTAAGTTGCATAAAAAAAAGTTATATTATAACTTAGCATATAGAATGCTTTATGCATTGATTTGCGCGAGCAAAGCAGTGGGAAATAGCTAGTATAAACATTTCAAAATTATAACCTAGGTTAGAATACTTACAAAATATGGGATGTTTATAATAATAAACACCGTACCGAACATATAACGGTAGTGCGTCACATTAGCACTGAGTTCTTTCAGAACGGAAGTTGGCATATAATTATTATCATTTATCCATATTTCCATTCGAGACGTAAGATGTGCTATATAAATATAGTTGTTGGATTTAGTTATTTTATAATATACTTGAAGATATACCGAAATATATACATACTGGATACTCTAGACTTAGGTACACATTTTTCATTGCCTGATACCCCATACTATCAGTTAGTTAAATTATGTAGATATACAGTCTTATACTCATAGCCGACAAATTGTCTATGACAGTGATTCTCAACCTTTTTTTTGTTGCGGCACATATTTGACGATTTTAAAATTTGGCGGCACACAAAGAAAAAGATAAAAATTATTTACTTACTACAACACACTGCATAAATAGTTTATGACAAATATTTTAAATATTTGCAAAATTTGGCGGCACACAAAAGTGCCACGGCACAGTGGTTGAGAATCACTGGTCTATGACTACTCCATACTGAGATTGCCTACTTTTGTACATATATTTTTTTTTATAGTTGAGAACTTTTTGAAATTCAAACAGACACAGAAACAAAGATAGAAGAGCAAATTCGTTCCTCAGGTCAGATACTCACGTGTACTTTCCTGTACTTTTATTTACAGAATTTTTTACTTTAATAAATTAACGATTGAATTCAATCATTAAACTCCTTTGCTTTCATTAGAAATAAATGGATGCATGAATTATAAACATTGGACCTTTTCATTAAAATGCAGACCGTCTTCAATAATTCAAAATAAAATTATATGTAAATCTTGGCACTAGTTTTGCTATTTTCATAACTGTTTAATATTATTACATGGTAGATATTTAGTAAGTAGCAGATTTAAATTTGAAAATATTTCAATAATATTTAAGAGGTTACTACTGCTTGCTTGTGAGTTCATATTTTAGGTACTATGCCAATTTTTATTAAAAAAATCGTCTACTAGTTTGTGTGACGCAAGCAATCTCAGACGATGCAGACAGATATTTAGTATGTATACACCTATATACTACCTACATTACAGAATAAAATGCGCAAACAATCTTATTAAAGAAAACTATTTATATATTGGACAGCATGCGTACCATGATGATTCTATGACTCATTATAAACATACAGTTGGTTATTATGTTTATCTGCTGCGTAAAGTCTGAAGCTCTGGTCTAAAAGTTAAGAAGCCATTTCTTATAGTTCATAGATTAAGAATAGTACCAGAGAGAAACTTTGTTCAAAAGCCATCTACTTGGGTACCTCTCTCCTACTCTTGTTTTTGCGGTAAGGGAATGTTAGTGATGGGGTCTGATATCTTCATTGTCAGCAATATACCCTTTCGTGGCGACTTGCACGCGGTTCTCAGTGGAAATCATCGTGGTTATTTGGTAAATTTTTCATGATGGGTCAAGTGATCTGTCATTCTCATCCTTATCATCTCTCACTCATAGCGGAGGCGGAGTTACGAATAAATTTTAACCCATTAAAATAAGAAACTCTTGTTTCTGACTCATAGCTACTCTGTGTATGCCGGCTATGTGCCGGTTTGAAGGTCACTGTAATTACTGGGTACAGAGATCCAACATCTTAGTCCTGGGGGGAAAATGATTGTTAGTAATAGTAGTAGCCCCATTGTCAAGTCGATCTCCACGCGGATCCCTCTAGAAACCATCGTGATTATTTCTTGAAGAATTTCTCAAGATGGGTCGAATGATCTTTTATCATCTTTACTATCATCACTGACTGGTGCCCCACCAGCATATATCGATAGCGCTGGTGGGGCTACCATAATATTCTCACTTATTAAAAAAAAAAAACATATTAGTCTTTAGAATTGGCGACGTGAAGTACGTGTGTATTCTGATGTCCATGTGCAACTTTCGTATATATAATCAACATGGTTACCGCATTCTATCAATGTTTTTTTATGCAAATTGAATAGGTGAGGTTACATAAAAAAATTACCGCCCTATTCCGCTATAACTGCAAAGTACTCGTATGTACATGTAGTGTATGCGACTATAGGTTGTATTGTTCAAGGAAAGTCTAGTATTATTTAAAAAATTGCTGACATCCTATCAACAATAACGCACATTGTAAAACAATGATACTGTATATATAGAGTATACAGTTATTTATCTAAAATATGAAACTGCTTGGTTGCCGGACAGAAGGATTTATCAATCTATAATCGATTCTGTAATTATACAGTAGAACATATTGGCATAATATGTAATTTGCAAGGTAACTATATCATCATCATCATCATTATATTAGCTGTCGAGTGTCCGCTGCTGAATATAGGCCTCTCCCATAAAGGGGGTTGCGGCAGTTATTACCACGGCGCAGGTGGGTTACCAACCACAGTTAGCCTTTGGTAATATTTTAAGAGGGACATTAAGTTCCCATAGTCACATCTTATGATATCCACGAAAAGAGAAACGATGGTCTATTCTATGCCGGGATCACATGTAACTAGGTACTTCTGAGATATTCGATGTCAACATCATAATAGAACGCTGGGCATGGATTTCTTCCCATAAAAGAAAAAAATTACGATAATATCATGGTGTCTTAGTAAAAATCTTGACTATGATGAATATAACAATTTTTTTGAGTATTTTTTATAAAATAGCTATAATAACTATGCTATAAAAACAAATCACTGAATATCAAAAATCATCATTAAAGCTTTGAAAATATTACAATAAAATTCTTTACTCCATAACAAAAAAAAAATTAACAACTATTTTAAATCAGTTTGTAGCCAAACAAAACAACTCAATCGCCCGTCCAAACAGCCGACCTACCATTGTCCCGTCAACTCTTTGTTCTTGCATATCTTGCCTAATAAATACAGAACTACTCACGGTGATAATATGTAAACTATTTTTAAAACTTGACCTTTTTTTTCTTGATTTCAGTTTATACTCTTTTAAAATAACTTTTATTTTTTGTGACTAACCAAAACGAAATGATGGTGAAAAATGGCAATGACCATTAAATGTAATTCGCGCCTCTTTGTACTTTTATAAACGCACTCGGAGATATAATATGAAAGCGATCCACTCATCAATCTATCATCACAGCCCATCAAGCACGTCACGTTTGTCTCAATATGTGCCAATTTTCAAGTGAAAAAGAATTCACT